TGGGGAGGAGGGCAGCAGCAGTGACAACAGTTCCGATGACTGCACCTTCAGGTTCCAAAGTCCTAGGAATCGAAGTCCCAGGAATCGAAGTCCCAGGATTCGAAGTCCCAGGATCGGCAGTCCCAAGATCGGCAGTCCCAAGATCGGCAGTCCCAAGATCGGCAGTCCCAAGATCGGCAGTCCCAGGATCGGCAGTCCCAGGATCGGCAGTCCCAGGATCGGCAGTCCCAGCTCTGCGTGCCGGACGCCCAAGGTGCAACGCCACCGCAGCAGAAACAACACAATATGTTCCCCTTTGCAGTGTACCAGCCCCATACCTTACGCTTCCTGGAGGAAACTGAGGCTGTGTGACTCTCCCAGCACACCCAAAGTAGGCAGCAATTCAGACTGATTGTGATCTCAATTTTAAACCAGTTTTACTTAAGTGAAATAAATTGCCTTTCTCTTCCCCCCTATAGAGCTTACTATCCAAGTCGTCCCAGCCTTGCTCCAGTACTAAGATATGTCGCCCTCCTAGGACCCTGCGTTTTGCCTCAGCTACTGACGCTAACCACATCAAAGCACCCCTGGTCAATGTTAATCCTTTCACCCCCGACACAGTCCGCAGGAACAGCGAGCCGCAGTGGAGGAACTGCGGTAGAAGTGATGATGATGACGATTATGGACGCAGGTATCTACTGCTTTGTTGTAGATCTGTGAGGTTATGAATTGTAAACACCAGCATGGCCCAACATTTTAGTCACAGATGGGGATTTGTTTAATGTGGGAGAAATGTGTAATTGAGAACATCACAGGGAAATAAATATGACTGTATTATGGTGTAAGTATCACAATAAGACTTATTTTTTAAATGGAATGTAATTGGTTGCTATAGATAACCCACAGGAATGACATTTAAATAGAAGATGGATAGATAGATAGATTTTATTGATCCCAATTTGGGAAATTATTGTGTTCAGACATTAAAATACAAATACTTAAAATACTTAAAGTGGAAAAGTTAATTAACAATTAAAAATAGTATATCAAATATAAACAATATAAAATATTCTGGATAATAAATTATTCTGGATATATAATTATCCATCTCATACATATGCCTGACTTGTTAATCCCTTACTAATGCAGTTTCTTGAAAGAGTATGTAAAGGCCCTTTCTTTTCATCTTCCAGGATAAAACACAGCCTAACGTCATCTGAGGAGGATGATGAAGCCTTCCTCCCACCTAAGGTACAGCTATTTATCAGTGCTTTTATGGTGAATGTAACCCTCCCCTGTCAGATGCTTCAGATATGATTTCATCGTCAGGCTTTGTCATCTTTGTCCGCCTCTTCACTTATTTTTCTTGTCCAAAATGACATGCTGCCAGTGCTACTTCTGTGATTTCTCTAAGGAATCTCCAGCAAACAGAAAAGCCTGTCAGAATCCTCATCTCTGATGGAAGTGCTACCGTATTTGGTTACCCATCAAATAAAAAAAACCTGATTCTCCTCGCTGTAATGAAACTCGGGACTGCCCTCTGTGACGTGTGTTCTTTCTTTAGAAATTTCATTTGGTTTTTACCACAAGGCCCTCCGTCTGTTTATCTGGCAGAGGCGAGCTGTCCAAGCCTTTATGCTGTCACGCTATGAGAGTGAGTTCCTGGAGCTGGAGTGCATTGGTGTGGGCGAGTTTGGAGCAGTTTACAAGTGTGTGAAGAGGCTGGATGGTTGTTTGTACGCCATAAAACACTCTCGCCGACCCCTGGCAGGCTCTACCAATGAGTGAGTCCGCAGCATGTCGCTATGTGCCAGATACAGATAAGTCCCCCCTTTTATTTTGTACGTATATTGATCCAATGTATCTGTTTTTTTATGTCTTCTCAGGCAGTTGGCCTTAAAGGAAGTGTATGCACATGCTGTTCTTGGGCACCACCCACATGTTGTTCGCTATTATTCAGCATGGGCAGAAGAGGATCACATGATTATTCAGAATGAATACTGCAATGGTAAGTCTCTCATTATCCCCAAATTAGGAAGACCCTAACACATTTCTAAATATCTTTAAGTCGACTCAATTAAATTGTGTGGATTTGATGTGTTTGTGGCAGGTGGAAGTCTCAGTGATACCATTGTGTCGAAGGAAGATCAGGGTGAGCTTTTTACAGAGGATGAGTTGAAGGATCTGCTCTTACAAGTGTCCATGGGGTTAAAGTACATCCACAGCTCAGGCCTCGTACACCTCGACATCAAACCAAGTAAGTCTCATGGAACAGTTCTAGGTCTGCATTTCTTGTTCTGTACAGTCTTAACCAAAAAGTGTGCTGTGCTTAAGAACCGTCTCTTGTTTCAACTCTTTAAGGTAATATATTCATTTCCCAGCGTCCCAGCGCAAGTGCATCAGGTGAAGGGGAGAGTGAGGAGGAAGATTACCAAAACGCTTCAGCGGGAGTCGTCTACAAAATTGGTATTTTTCTTAAAGTTGGATAACGTTTTTTTTAATTGTCGTCATGTTTTTTTTTTTACTGTCAAGCCTTCTTGTTTCTGCAGGGGATCTGGGTCATGTGAACTCAACAAACAGTCCTCAAGTTGAGGAAGGGGACAGCCGCTTTCTGGCCAGTGAGGTCCTTCAAGAGGTAACAATGTTAAAGGAAAAGTTGGCTTAGGTTCTCAGTTGGTTGCACCTCAGTGTAGGAATTGTTTCTAATGTTCATGTCTTTCTGCTGATCAGGATTACAGCCACCTGCCTAAGGCGGACATTTTTGCTCTTGGCCTCACCATTTTGCTGGCAGCCGGGGCTCCTCCACTCCCTCAAAATGGAACTGAGTGGCACAGCCTTAGAAAAGGAGAGCTCCCGAAACTGCCAAAGGAGCTATCTGCTCCCTTCAGAGGCCTACTTCAGGTAGTTCAATTTCTAAGCTGATGTTCTTGTTTATTTGAAAACTATAAATGCCATGAATAGTTACTGTTTTGATATAGTGATAAAAATGACTTTTCACCAGCATTTATATATTTTTTATTTTGTTCTGTCAGTTGTTGCTGGATCCAGACCTGACAAAGCGGCCATCTGCCAGGGAGCTGTGCAAGCACCCAGTCCTGCGGGAGGGGAGGACGGGAAGGGTGGCCGCTCAGCTACGCCAAGAGCTCAATGTAGAGAAGTTCAGGACAGCCATGCTTGAAAGGTAAGAAGGACAAAATGTTTGATAATTCTTGCATACCAGTCACTTTTCTGCCCATCTCCGCTGCTACTGCACTGAAACTGTACTTTGAACACTTTAAATATATTATTGACATTTTAAACTGTATACCCCGGTTATCTAGGCTCTTTGTTTTGTTTAAATGTATATCCCGTTTATCTAGGCCCTTTTTGTTTTGTTTTATGTATACATGTCACACTGTAGGACTGCGGGAAACGATATTTCGAGATTTTTGGATGTATAACACATGTAGAATTTTTTACAATAAAGCTGACTTTGACTTTGAAAGCATTCACTTATTTCCGTTTTCTCCTCAGAGAGCTCCAGGAGGCTCGTCAGGCTGCATTGTCCCCCAAGCAGAACCTCCCTCCAGGGTTGAAACTCGCTGCAAAGGTGGGGTTCCTACCCAGAGCACAGAGGCTTATTGGCGGAAAGGCGCCACGATCTCTGAGCTTTAACTGCACAGGTTATTGAATCTAATGGAAGGCCCACATGCCAGTCCGAAATTAGTCACTTTCAGCAACCAGGCTGTTGTAAAAGGAAACCATGTCTCTCGGATAAGGCAGGGTGAACCTTTACCCAAACAGCAAAGACTTTATTGAGACTAATAGAAATAAGTGGATGGACCGTTTTAACTCACATGTGGATATCATTGGTTTTAAAGGACTAGTCTGACTGACTTAAACACTTTACAAAGTGATTTTCTGGCAGTTGAATTTTAATTGGTGCAATGTACTTTCTTTAGAACTGTAAATAAACATTTTAATCTTTTATCAGTTGGATTTCCTTTTTTTTTTCTTATTGGATTGAGCTTTGTAACTCATAGTTGTGTATTCTGTAACCCAGACAAGTACATTTGGAAAGGCTGCTGGAAAAGCCACACAGGGAATTTCCAGTGGCTTTTTCTTTTGTTATCTAGACCTGCAGTCAACTGTATGACTGTATGTGAAAGAGTGATTGGGAGACTTGGAATGTAGGCTGAGACCTACGTGAAAGGTTATTAATGTAATAAATACATGTTTTAATGTTTTATGAATCACATGCATAATTTAGGCTTTTCACAACAGGTCACATCAACCCAAAGTGGCATGAATAGCAGTCAAATCATTTTCTATCATCAATTTGTTTTATGAAGTAAAAAATTAAGTCATTAGATACTCAAAGATAAAGATGCAATTAGAGGAAGATTTTTAAATAACACATGTTACTTTTAAGCTTTATACACAATGGGGCAAATGCAGTGGTGGAAAGTAACTAAGTACGTTTACTCAAGTGCTGTAATGAAGTACAGTCTTGAAGTAGTTGTACCTGAGTATTTTTACTTAATGCTTCTTTATACTTCTGCATGACTACAAGTCAATATTGTACGTTTCTCCACTACATTAATTTAACATTTAGCTACTATTCATAACATTTTACATAATGCACTAACTGCTTAAGGTACAAAAAAGTAGAATTATACAACATAACAAAAAGTATATTATTTTTTTGTATAAAAACTTCGAATATCAACAAAAGTAAAATGCTACTTGATCCAACAATAGTATCAAATCATTTTCGAAATATATATATAACAATAAATGGATGGATAACAATAAATCAAACATGGAGGCATTTTTTCTGTTTTACTTTGTATTTTGCTGATAAAACGGTTTTAAGGTTAACGTTATCTGATTTAGCTGGGATTCTATTTCGGATTGTACAGATGGCAAAGTTGTGAGACCTAAAAAACAAATGTTTTCGCCTGTGCTTGAAGGCATCAGGAGTGTGATTGGTCAGCCCCCCCCCCCCCCCCCCCACGTAGCATGTTCAGATTGATTTAGATCTGTTGTTGTGCGGCTCGCGCTACACTGGCTGCTTGATGTTGCATGGCACATCCCTCTCAATGGTCACATCATAAGGCGATAAACTGTTACTTGTAAGAAGTAAAAAAACTGACGTCCAAAGCCCAAGGAACGAATGTGAGTGAAAAAATCCATACTGTTGAAACTTATTTAGCAATCATTTCCAGTTTTACTTTTGTTTTGTCAACTTTCCGGCTCGAAAGTTGAAGTAAGCGTTAGCTTATCTTGCTAGCTTACCCGTTGACGGTTAACTCTGAAACAATTCTACAAATGCTACTTTAGCTTAGTTTAGTTGTTTTTCGCCCTGGTTCTGTAGTTGATACGGATATATTATATAGCTGTTTATATTGCTAATGTAACCCTAATCATGCTTGTCTAAATTAAACACAATCTAGAGAGGTTATCGATGGATGAGCTGGGGGACCTGAACAGTGGGCAAAACGCTGCCCTCATGTGGGTCTTCCTTCAAGCGGACAGTAGCGCCCCAGAGTTCAGTAAGGAGCTTCTCAGCCTCGGCAAGGAGTTGCATTTTTCCAGGGACATCAACTTTAATCGCCCCTGTGAAGAAGATCTTGACGATGGAGACCTTGAAACTGACGGACACCTGCCCATCAGAGCTGCTCTACAGGATATTCTGCCTTCAGTGGAACTGCAGTGGCCCAGTGAGTAACTAAATCAGTCCTTTTAACATGTACTAAGATCATATAGGGAGTCACTCATACTAGCACTTGTACATCTTTGAAATCAGCTGTTTATCTCCATGGCTTGTTTTAGGCTGATATTATTCTAAAGTATTATTAAGCATGTCCTTGTAAAGACAGTGTGAGGTGAACTCAAAACTTTATTTTAATACAATTGTTAACCCATGTAATGTTGATGTTATCCTACCTTATCAAAGTCAAAGTTACTGCCATTATTAGCAACAAAAGTGAAGGAACACATATCATGATCACTGAAGTGTACTGATGTTTATCTCATCTTGTGTTCCTGCAGTGGGCCGGGCACAGGCAGCAGATTTTCAGGAGTTAGCAGAAGAGCTGAGGGAAATCGCCCACCAGCTTCAACAAAATGTTGTGAATCAGGCTACCCAGAACCTGAGCAGGAACATGTCCAACACCCCCTCTGAAGTGAGTGCTGTGAGCTCAGGACATGTTCATGTTGGACTGGATGTGTCTGTCAAAGATAATCATTTATAATCTGACTCAAAATGTGGTGTTTTTTTACTTGTAAGATAATGATTATATGTTGTTTAAAATGGTCCAGTTTACACTAGGAACATTTGAATGGAAGTAAGGTGGTTTTAATTGTATGATCTGTTACATATGTAACTTGTATATTTTATATTATTATGTAATCTTTTTTGTAGTTGCATAATGTATACTAGTACTAGGTGATTAAGATATGTGATCATGCATTTTAGAAACAAAAACAATTACGGAAAAAAGTGTGAGTAGTATTTTCACTACATATCTAGCATAGTATATTTATGATCTACTTTCCCTGCATCAGAGAACTGTTTATCTATTTATCCTTTGGTGAAATTGGGTATTTGTATTTGCTCTACATACACTGTATGCACCATACACCAAGACAGATTTATTGTAAATTACTATTTACTTTGCTATAACACTATTCAGATTCAAAATGGTTTGTAGTTGCTCAACATCCCCAAAAACCTAAATTAATTTATACGTTTAATAATCAATGTCCACGTGAAATCACCTACAGCAAGTGTTTAACTAACGCTGCAAAATAAAATAAGTTTGTATTGATTTCTGCCTAGAACACCATTTTGCTGTTTACATCAAGATGTTTGCCACGTGCAAAATAAAAAACCTCAAAAGATTAAATACTGAGATATAAACACACTAGTAATAATAAGGTGCATTAAAGTGTGTTTGTTGTTGCTCGTTAAATGACCTAACGGTGTCGATCCTATTGTTCCTGTTTCCCAGCAGTGGACAGAGCACCTGAGCCGGGTGGTGCAGAGCGTGATGCAGAGCGTGGGTCTGCATCATCTCTCACGGGAGAGAGTCATGCTGGCCCTCACGTTCACCCTGGTGAAGGGGGTGTGTGCGCTGGCCCCTCAGCTGCTGAGAAGTCTGTTCGTCACCGTGCTGCAGTTCCTCAACCCCGCCAGGGCTACAGAGGAAATGACTGAGAGACACACAGCGGAGGACAGCTGAACCTGAAACCAGTCGACTGTGAAAGGTGCTGAGTCGACCATACAGTGAAAAACCACTTTTCAGAGGAAAGGGAAGTGACACTGAACTGTTTGAGTGTATGCTCATATTTGAAAACGGGAAATGAAATGGACACTTTAATTTTTCTTAACTTTGTGCTTTAAGTCTTATTGTTTCCAATTTTGCTAAAATGTCTTTATTTTTATACTTGAAATACATTATTATTGTATTTGATTATTTTGCTTTTGGTATATACAACATGTATGGCTATTATTTAGTGTGATTTCATGAAATGTTTACATTCCCGTTATGAATTTAATTTAATCAAATGCTGTAAGATTGTATTTTATGATAAAAAAAAATAAATGTATTGATATGGCAATGGAAACGTTTAATCAACACAGCATTCAATCCAAACAACATATAGGTTTTCAAATGTTTTGTTTTATTATTTTCATATCCGTGTATTGCAGGAAACTGAAGGTACAAAGTGTTGGACATCCATCTTGCTCTGCACTTTAACAGTTTCCTTCAGTCCATCAGTATTACTAAGGTTACCACTGACTGACTTACAGGGATACATCCTTTCATAGAAGATGGTATCTGTTGTGCACCATGTTTTTGCAGCCTTTTAAAAGCTCTCAGTGATACAACTTACCATAATATCCCCAAAATCATGTGATACTGCACAACTCAATGACACAAGTTCTCAAAGTGCAAGATAACTCATTGACTCTACACAGACTATGGGGGAGGGGTCCGGGGACATTCCCCTCTAACAGTTCACATTTTGTTTAAAAACTCTCCTTAGCTGGTTATTATGGCAAAAACATCTTGTAACACAAGAGGTTGAATTTGACTTCCAAAACAAATCTTTATCACAGCATTCTTTATGCAAATATAAAACCATACAAAGACTGCTGGTTAGAGTGTTGTTGAAGGACCCCCTTGTTTTAATACCTCATTTTCTACACAGGGAGGGTGTGGGAATGGTACATTCCCAACAGGGCAAACAGTCACTGGTACAGATGCAATTGTGAATAAAAGTTGTGGCATAAGCGAGTTACATCATGAGCAGTAATAGTAAAGAACACAGGACTAAAAGGGGTCGGAGAAAGTAAAGAAGGAAAAAAAAACTGCAGAGAAAATGTAGTTTTTTTGTCTAAGGAAGTGTGGTAGCCCATTCAGCAAATTCAATCATGAAATCGATTTAAATGATTGGATGACGGAATCTATGTACTACAGTAGCTGACATTTTCTTTTTTAGCGAATGCTAACAGAATGAGGTGCAGTTCACACGAGGACTGGGGTATCTTTAGAAAGTACTAGATGACCCCTTACTGTAGAAATACAATAAGAACTAAGATTACTTGCTGTTTTCAAGTTTTTTTTGGATCTTCACAGTATATTCAAATTTGCATACGAATGATGGCAAAAGAATGACGGCGGAACATGCAACAGGCTGGATGCATCAGTTCCATACGTTCATCAATTCTAGGGCAAAAATGTTTAATGTTTGAATACACACAAATTAAAACATGCTGTGAAGTCATACAAATACGTTATGCAGAATGTAAAGAGGAAAAATAGTTGTAACCTAATGCGCCTGTTCTGTGTGTGAAACTGACACATAAAATCAAATAACTGGTTTCCTCCATAGGTCATACATTTGTTATGTGTGAATGAGAGAAAGAATCAGAATCACAGACAATGGGGGGAGATATTAGTAAGTGCTGTTTTGTTGCATAGAAAGGGAGAAAGCCGGAAAACCTTTAGTCCCACAGAAAAACAGGAAATGTTTGTGGTTTCATCAAGGAAGCGTTGTCAGTGGATTTTCAGTAGGTACACTGACTCAAGTGGTTCCAAAGAAAGAGCCACAGACTAAACAGAAACAGAAACTAGCAGAAGAGGGATCAAATTTCACAAACTTTCCAATCTGTGGCTATAAAAGGCTGGAGAATTTCAACACACAGTTGGAAGATAACCAAAAAGGAATAAAGAGAGAAAAAAGAAATAGGAGAACAGTGGAGTGCATTGTGTCCTCCTGCTGTGTTTGTGGAGCAGGACTCCCAGTAGTACGGTTGCAGATGAGATGTTTTCTTTTGTTGCTGGGGGTCATTTTCACAGATCTTAAACCTTCAAAAAAAACGCATTTAATACATCCAACACACTTGGCGAGAAGAGTCCCACCATGTGTGTACTAATACATTTATTTTTCCTTATCTTGTAATTTCATTCTCCTCCCCTGAGATGTGCTACTTCCTCCTGTAGCTGATGAAGCTGTAGGCCACGGCAGCAGCGAGCACCAGCGCAGCGCCGCCGTACAGCAGCGGCGAGAGCTCTGCTTCTGGCTCTGCTTTGGGCTCCGGCTGCTCTGGGGTTTCTACAGGGGCCACTGCATCCTCCAGGACCAGGGGCTCAGCGACGGGCTCAGCGACGGGCTCAGCGACGGGCTCCGGCTCTGCTTCGTGCTCCGCTTGTGCTAACGGGGTTTCCTTGGCTGGAGATGGGGGGGCCACCTCAGCAGGCACTGGGGCAGCTTCTGGTTCTGGCTCAGGTTCTGGTTCAGGAACAGATAAAGGTGCTTCTGGCTCAGAGGGAGGGGGAGCTTCAGTGACAGGGGGAGGCAGCTCAGGTTCTAAGGAGATGATGGAAGGCTCTGCGGACAAACTTGCAGGTGTCTCTATGACAACCGGCTCCTCTAATGAGAGCAGAGAGGCTGGGGCCCCGGAGTCACTGTCGGCCGACTCTGTGACGGGGGGGGTCTGGCCCCTGAACTCCTCCCGGAGCTCGGCCATGTCGCTCTCCGTGCCCAGGATGCTCATCATGCTCTCGTCTATCGCTGCCACGTCCCCGCCTTCCTCCAGCAGCTCGGCGTCCTCGCGCTCCACGTGGACAATGTCCGAGTTCGACGAGTTGTTCTCGCTGCGCTCCTCGGCCAGAGCCGCCGCGCCCTCGTTGCTGTCCAGGCTCTTCACGTCTTCGGGGTCCATGGCGCTGACCTGTGCCCAGGACTCGTGGCCGGCCAGAGACGCGGGTAAGCTTTCCGTCTGCCACGAGCTCTGCCCGCTGCTGATCTCTCCGGTGCAGAGCAGCGAGGAGGGGGGGCTCAGATGGTCAGGGTGCTGGTCCCCGGAGAGGATGTAAATGTCGTTGCTGTCTTCAGCGATGATCACACCTCGCTCGTCCTCTGACTCGAGGCTGAATACTTCACCCTGGGATAGACAGAGACAGAGAGGATGTCAACATCATATTTTTTTTAAGAATTTTGAGTAATAGATGGAAAAGTTAAATGTGATAATCTGTATAATGCAACATGGCAGAGGATTTTTTCACCATGATGCTACTTTAGAATCATAAACTAAGTCAAACTAATGTCACTTTTCAACTGACACTGCTTTATAGCTTAAATTGCCCTTGTATGCCACCTAGTGGATTGCAGATATGTATCAGCAATACATCTGGAGCCCTCTGTAAAGCTCTCCCATTATATAACATCCATAATCATATGATCATTTGGGAATGATTGACTAACACAGAGGTCGACTTACTGAAGCAAAATATATTAAAGGAATCAAACGGTAGAAGTAAATACAGGTTTGACTTTGAAGGTCAAAAACTGTTTTTATCAAGTCAGAATATTACCTAAAGAATATTGTAGCATGAGAGTGACCGTACCAGACATATCTTTCCACTTTGCTGAGTGTGCAGGGACGTGATGCAGAATTTACAGTATGTAGGCCAGCGAGTGTTTACAATGAGAGCAGGATGCACGCTCACTGGAGGGCATATGTGTGAAAACGCTGAGTGAATAAAGAAGACGTGGTGTGAATGGCAGTTTGCTACACTCGATTGTATCCTCTCATTGTCCAGCAACACCGCCCACACACAGCCCTGCGAGGCCAGGTTTAAACCGGTCCTCATTTTGGACTTGGGAACGTTAACATCTCTCTTCTTACATCACAAAAGGGCAGCCCATGTTATGTCAGAACAATCTGATAAAACGCACTGCACACAAATCATGACTTTATTTTTAATCCAGCTATCCTACTTAATGCTACACCAACAAGGCTAAGAGTCATGCTAGCAGCTTTGTGAGGATGTACTCTAGCCCAGCAGTACTTTGAGCTAAATGCTAACTTCAGCATGCTAACATGCTCAAAGTGACATTGAAAACATGCTAGTGTTAAGCAGCTATAATATTTAGCATGCTAACATTTGCTTTTCTAAACACAAACGATAGCTACTGTAAAGCTTAAGGGAATACCATTAGTTTAACTTATGTATTTGGTCAAAAAAACAGTATTGGACGCAATAAATCATTGATCTGATGATGGCACGGCATAAAAGGTTATCACCAAAAGGTTAGTTTATCTTATGAACGAATTTCACAAATATCCTTCCAATATTTGTTAAATACTTTAATAAAAGGAATTGAAGGGGATCATTAAAGTCTGTAGGATTCATCCTCTGGGGAACATCTCAACATAGTTTCATGGCAATCTATCCAATACCAATTAGAAATACAAATTGGCACAGACAACAAAAAAATCAATAATCTGGTTTAACAGGAAAGAAACTGGGTTGAAACTACATTTTGGATCGGTCGTAAGCAAGCTTCTCTGTTGCATGTCACATGTCACATAAGGTGTGACTTGAATGGTCAAGATTCAAACAGAGGAGGGCGTAAAGGCGTGTGTGGGTGCAGCAGACAGAAAGGTTCTGACAGCAGAGAAGGCAACAATGTCTCACCTGAGAACGTGAGGGGGTTATTATGTTCCTGTCCCAATCTGCATGTGATTCACACAACGTTTAACTTCCAAGACAGCACACAGTATGCAAACCATTATTGACCTATGCCAGTGGTTCTCAAACTTTTTCTGTCATTTGAACAAGCCCCACCTGTTCCTCATCGCTCCAATAAAATGGTGGGCCAAGCTTAAAATTGTCAAATGTATCGTTCTATAACAGGGGTCTCCAACCTTTTTTAGGATGAGAGCTACTTTCAAAAAATAAAACAAGTCGTGAGCTACTTTTACTCCTCTTTTTGGTTTTTTGCAGTGTATATATTTAGCACATTTTAACATTATGATATGCTTACCTTTAACCTTTGTGTGCTGTTTGGGTCTGTGGGACCAGTTTTCAGTGTTTACTAAAATAAAATGTATTCAATTTAATTATTTTAACCTGCTTTATTTGGGGGTGGACCTCACATCCTCTAGGGGGGTCCGGGGGCATGCACCCCCGTGAAGATTTTTTGCATCAATCTGGTGCACGTTGAGCACAAAATGAATTTATGGATACAGCTCTTTAGAATATGATCACAACCAATAACAAATCATTCAAACTTGTTTATTCTTATCTTATGTTACCTAGT